CATTACAGCATCTTCAGAGGGGAGCTGAATAAAACCCGGCACACAGAGGAAATGCTACTCATCTTGTTGCATCAAACAACAGCAAGCTGATCAAAGAGACTATCACTAAAGAGAAGAGAGCGTTCCTTTAAAACTGTCATTCAAAGCACTTTCATATCAATTTCCCTGACTTGATGAAAGTTATATAAAACAGCAATGAGTGAACAGAGTCGTTGGTAAACACTTCACTTGTCTGTTGATGTCCCGACCAGTGAGAATACTCCATATAATATAACCAAATGTAAATCTGAAATTTGCTCGGCTTGAGCATTGTTATGCAACGTTATAATTATTTTTAGCACAGCATTAGCTCCAGAACAGTAATTGGTACCATAACAGGGAAACTTTAAGGTTTCCAGTGGATGTTTTGCCCTTCTGTAAGGCTATGGAGCTACATGCAGATCCCTGTTTTGTAATTGTACACAGGCAAGATACATTCTTGCCAGGGGTTTCACACTATTCAACTGATCTAGAAGTGGCTGTAAGATGCCAAGATCTGCAGGAAAGGGACATCAAAGGCAGAGAAGAAGAACACTTATAGTGTACATTCAATCTAAACAATGCAATATTTAGAAAACTAATCTTTGCATGTCGAAGGAAATGCATTCAACATGTTTTTTAGACCTCAAGATTACAAACAAGGCAACTTTTAGTGACTCTGAATAACTAAAGATAACTCCACATGAATAACTAAAGATAACTCCACATGGGACTTTTAAACACCAATTAATGTCCTGACTTATGACAACTCTACAGTCCTAACACAAATGTCCATGTTACGTTAATTAACGGACATTAAAGTAATCTGAATCAGATGTTTTACCAAAACCATATTAGGTCGGGGGACAGGCACTGCTGAAGGCCTGGCAGGCTGTAAGCCGCTGTGTTTATCCTGTCAAGGTATGTTAACACCAGGCTGCATTCCTGTAGTCCCTAAATTGCAGTGTAAGATTACAGCCCAGCTGAGTGCGCACTCATACACACACATACACAAACATGGGGAACTTTAAAGCAAGAGGAAAGGCGTTGGATGACGAAGCCGTGACCAAAGTGGCAGCAGCAACAGGCGGCGCATGGAGGGCCGACACCTGCCATTTACTGCGGACGACCAACATGAGGTGGAGCTAAAAACAAGTTCATCAAGCACTGAGAATAAAAACAGATCCACGACTTCCCCTCTGCAATGATTTCCATACAAGCATTACTTAAATCACAAAGGAATAACAGTTGTATAAGTACTGCGTATCCTGCTACCACTCACTCTAATGCATGATGTGTGGAAAGTGTTTAGTCTGGGCATAAACAAGTAGAGTAAGAGAAAAGTGAAGGTTGTTGAAGGTCTCTGCAGACCTATAGCTCCATGACACTCATCCTTTACTGGGCTTTCATAGCAGCATGTTTACAGTGTCTGCCTGGAGGGAAATCATCTCTGTAAAGAGGTGGAGTAAAACTAACTGACTGCATCAATAACATGCAGACAGGTGAGGGAAGGTGTTTAGATATGGGAGGACACTGCCATTTAGACTTGGGTGGCACACAAAAACAACACTAGACACCTGGATATGTGTCTCAGTCACCTCTTAATTACACTGCAGTGTGGCTCAATATGAATGAGATTATATAGTATCGGAGTCCAGAACAAAAGGTATTATAGGTGTTAGGAGATTGGTGTCAACACCTGATTGGCACTGTGCATGCATGATACAAATATTCAGCAGAAAGAATGAATAATGTTTAATCTAATCCGTCTGACAACAATACCTGATGATTTGTTAACAGGTCTGGTTTACTAAAACATAATTGTGCAAAGTGAAACTAAACTAGAAAATCAAATGCATGTAAAACGTTGACACTGTGGTTTGGACCCAAAAGGTAGAGGTATGTCAGTCAGTGCCCTCCACACACAGCGTTCAAGATAAAACACAAATGTTTAACCTTGTATTCTCCAGCTGTCTGTCTTTCTTATTTAATGAATTAATGTGAATAATGTGCTGTAATTTGGGGAAAGCTTTACAAGTATGTGTAATATTTGTAATGCCTTATAATGTCTTTACACATTTAGCCATTATGTTAAAACACGTTTCAGCAAACAATGTAAATGTGGAAAGGGGATGGGCCCCAGATATGTAAGTAGGAAGAAATAAATGTAGGAAGATAATTAGCTTTCTTTGAAAATCAATATAGGATAGGTTGCTTTTCTTTGTAATATATAAATATTAGGCATTTTTCCCCATCATCTGATATTTATTTATATATTATTTATATCTATTTAATTAAGAGAAGATGACAGTAATTGGTACATAAGATATTAATTAGGAGATTTGGCTGCATGGTGACTAGAAGCAATAAAATATGTCAAGTAAAATGTATTATTTTCACAAAAGGTCCTTCCTACAGTATGTTTTCTCACTTTCCAAACATTGCACAAAGTGAAAACGTGTTATTGGTAATAGAATAGAAAGTGTGTAGGATCTCCAGCAGCTTCTGGGACAGTAGAGTAGATTATAATAGCAGCTGTTTGCCACATAATGGTGATGACAGACTGGAGGTCATGGTACCTTAGCACAGCCAGGCTAATGTTGGGCACATGAGCTCTTTTGAAAATTACAGGATAGGCTGTGAGCGAGGAGTCTGTGTCATGTGGATGGAAAATAATAAGTAAATAAAAAACATGATTGAATTGAGGCAGGTGTAGACGGAAACGAACAGAAGGGAGTTTTCACTTGAAGAAGATGAAAGCGGTGCGCACTGAATCACAGCACCTTTTGCCATCTTGATTGTGCCCCGTTACACGGACACGCTCCTTTCACAACATCATGGTATTTTGGGGGGAAATTAACAAACCGTCACGCTCAGGAATATTCCTATCGAGCATGTGAGGCGTATACTTGCAAGGATATCACGGAGAATTCGGTTTTAATACACCTTTATAGGTGTTGCATCACCTTGCGTACCTGGCTGTCTCCGGTCCAGGAAAAAAAAAAACCAGCAACCCCGCCTTCACTGCAGTAATGGTACTGACCGCCATTCCCTTCCGCACACCGCTCAGGAAATTGTATAACGAATTACCGCAACACAATAGATGGAAACGAGAGGTTTGACGGTGAGCCCTTTAAGCACTGTTATTGTGGAGGAATAGCACAGGAATAACCACCTTGTGCACCAAGAATTGCGCGTGCAGACTCACACGAGCTGCAGAAACCATACAACCAATCCATACACAATAAGAAAAAAAGCATAAAAGCGGAGATAAAACGTGCACAAGTGGGTCAGAAATGTGTGTCGAGGAGATAAATCCCGCGAGAATAAAACCAGGCGAGCATCCATCCAAAGCTGGCATGGCACACACGGAGAAAAACTACACAAAAATCATCTCTACCTGCACAAGTTGACATTTGGAGCGGTTTTCCTGGCTCCTACCGAGACAGAGGCTTTAGGGAACGGCGAGCAAATCCTCTTCCGGTAACGATCGAGAGCCGCAGGTGTTATTTCTGTTTAATTCTAGGCCGTTTGTCAGCCCCGTTATCCGCGTTCAGGTAAACATGATGATGATGAGGATGATGATGATGATGGCTCCTGTACGGACGCACAGTCACCGTCGTGTCGTCAGAAGGAGAAAAAAAGGTGCTTTCCAGCCCCTCGGCTCACACACATTATGCCTCATAACGGTGTGTAAAAATATATAAATATATCCCTTTACTTTTTTTATTGGCTCATACGATGACAGAGGGGGGAGCACAGGTAAGGAACCGACCAATGAGGGTCTCTTGTTAAAAAGGGTTGTGTAAATGTACAAAAACCACGCCTAGATTATATTTTTATATATTTACTTCATCACAGGTGGATTTAAAAATAGTTTATGGTGTGAAAATATGTTCAGACCCCGCAACACCTATTCTGAAATCATTCTTATAATAACTACTCCCTGTAGGTGATGTTATTACAACTATATTACAGCACAACATAGGATCCGATCATGCCAACACTGACAGACAAATATATACTAAAAGTCCATAGTGTTATAAGGCAAAATCGAAACCTATGCTGATAAACAAAACCAAAAGCATTGCTTATAATGACCAAAATGCAGCAAACAACATTAATCTTCAGCATTGATATCCCGAATTAACAGGTGCAAAAAGAAACAGCAGCACATGTGCAATAGGAGCGATTTGCAAGACAATCAAAGAAAACTCACGCTAAACAACAACAACAAAAATGAATTATTAAAGCTAAACTGGTGCAGGCAATACGGAAATGCATGCATAAAGATATATTTGACCAAAACTACTTGAGCAAGGTTAATAATATGATTTTGTACTCTTACCTTAACTAAGGGAACATGTGGTGCTGCAGTTGTGGCAGGGAGGGGTGAAGTGGAGATAAAATAAACATCCCATCTCTTTGCCATCAGCAGCAGCAGAGAACCAAACCCCATGCAAAGAATCCCATGCATCCACCATCAAAACAAACAGATAAAGTGAACTATACTGACCAGGAGGGACAAACTGCACCGTCCGGGGCCGAGCGAGCAGCAACAACCTCGCCCTAAAAAAAAACGCACTAAAGTACAAACTGCACTCTAACGGGCCACGTTGTTATGCGTAAAGCCCCGCAACCTGCCGCCAAGTGCTGCAAAAGTGGCCGAAAAGTAGAGAAACAAAGTGAGGAAAAGTGAAGTAAACGAATAATACAAGTACCAAGCGCTCCTCGGGGTTATTATAAGTGCCGGATAACGGTTCACTCTTGTCAGCCATGCATGCACCGCTAGGCGGAGAGAGCAGCCAGCAGCCAGGTATAACGGTACACCACCACCCTGGGATATAATACTGCACAAAACTCCTCGAAACGTGGTCCAACTCACTCCCCAAAAGTCACCAGAAGTAGTTAACCGAGTGAAAAGCTCTCCATTCGCCCGCATGGATCACCCAGCAAAGATTAGGCAGGAGTTTTTTACTTACCGCTGCTCCTCTTCGGGTTAGCCTGTTTTCTGCGCTTACACCTGGGGCCATCCGCCATGATCCTCTCGCTGAGTCTGAAGCGCAGCCGCTCGCTAGTCACCTCCTCCCTCCTCCTGCTGTCTCCCCCCTCCTCTTCCTCACCGTTCCTCACCCCTCCCTTCCCCTGTCCGCTTTACGACATCACCTTCTCCCCGCAAAAACACCTGGTTTGCGACACACTCGTCCGCCTTTACGGCATCACCTTCTGCAAACACCTCAACACGTGGCCCCTCCTACTGGCCGCACATGGGTGTGTGTTGTTTCCAAACTGTGGTCCTCCCGCCCTGTCAGGGACGTCCCGGGACACAAGCTCACACGAATACATCAAATACAGAGGTGGAAGAAGTACTTCTAGCTTATACTTGAGTAAAAGAGTGTAGGAATACTTTGTAACAAGTAAAAGTGCTGCATTGCAAATGTTACTCAAGTAAAAGTAGGCTACACAAGTTTTAGCACCAACATATACTTAAGTGAAAGTACTCATTGTGCAGAATGGGCACTTTTTAAATATTATATTAAATATGTTTTATTTGTAATTATTGATCATTAAAGTGTTATCAAAGCTGGTAAAGGTGCAGCTAGTTTTAATGACTTTGCACACTGCAGGGTAGCTTGTGAATTTACTCCAGGTGTAAGTTAATGTCTGATTTAAGTGTTGATTACATTTCATATCATTAATCCAAATTTGCAAAGTAACTAAAGGTATTAAATAAATGTAGTGGAGTAAAAGTATACGATTTACCTCTGAATTGTAATTGAGTAGAGGTACGAAGTAGCAACAAAATTAAATACAAAACTACTAGTATCTCAAAATTGTACTAAAGTACAGTACTTGAGTAAATGTACTTACTTCACATCACTGTTTAATTTTAGATACGTTTACATCATAAATAATTAGAAGCATTATAAAGAAAGTAAATGAGCATATAACAGTAGAAGCAGTCAATTCAGCCAATTCTACAGGTGAAATACCTTTTTATAAGTAAAACTCCTCCTAACTTCCTCAGAGTACCAAAAGTAAACACATTATGCAGAATGACTTATTTCATAGATTACTCTAATAATGTAGTGTTATTGACAGTGACTGTCTCTGCTCCTCATGACATCTGCAGAAATGGAAAATATTACAGAGAGGTTTCTCTCCACAGGGCGAAATGTAGAGATTAGTGAGAGTAGAGCTGAAGGGACATTTAAATGTCAATGTGACATAATCTCATTGAGGAGGCTTTCTTTAAAGCAGCTATTATACAACGTAAAAAATACCAAATTGTATTAAATGAAAATGAAATGTACAAGTATTCCATTAGAGGTAGATGTTTTTTATTCATTAACTTATTCAATGATTAATTAATAGCAGTACTAATGCTGCTTTTATGTGTCCAGAAGGATTAGTAGAAACATACATAAAAAGTATTAAAAGTGAAATTAGTCATTAAACAAAATGCACCTCCTATTCATAGATACACATATATGAATGAAGAAATATATTCATATATGTATTAACAAAGATATATATTTATATGTGTGTGTATGAAGATATATGTTTTAACGTGAAAGCAAAGGAATCTGCATCGGAGGAAATATAGGCTTTGCATTAGTAGTATAGTAGGATAGCATAGAAGCTACAGCATACAGAAATATAGTATAGTACACTATAGTATAGTAACATAAAGTAAATTACAGTATAGTGTATAGTATAGCATAGTATATTACAATAAAGTATAGTATAGTGCAGTATAGTGAAGTATAGTATAGTAGTAGAAAATACATATAAATACAATTTGTCATTATGCAGCAGGGGTGTTACTCAGTTTTTTGGATTATCACCATTATTTAGATGCAAGTTGCATTTGATGTCTGTTTGAGACGGCCACAGCCACGCCTGGTAAAACAATTAAACTGCACTTCACCTCCAGTAGTTCTTTCTTAATTTCAGTTGCAGTACAATTATATATTATAGTAGATATATATTATCATAAATATATTTTCACACATTCTAGCATAGCTAACTCAAGTGTTTGTTTGTATTAATGACTTTCTTTGTCTTTGAGTTACCGTGGTCGTTGGGGGAGGTTACTTCCTGGTTCAGTAAAGGGGCGTGGCTGAGGGCAGAGGACTGTTAAAAACTGCAAGCAGCCAATTGGGACAAATTGGGACAAAACAAATGCTTCCATGTCAAAGGGGGGATTTGGGTTTGTTCTGATAGTCTTGATTACCCCTTGTTTTCTTTTTGGTTTGACCAAGCCTCTATATAGAGAACCGCAGTGACCTAAAACCCGGAAGTAAACTCCTTCCGGTTCCGTCGTCAAAAACCAATGCAATTTCTCCATAGGGTTTTGGAAAATAGCTGGAAATAAGGTCTGTGGTTGAAACACATTTAAGAGACGGATCACGTTTTGTTCAGCTGGATAATCTCCACATGTCTATCCTACTTTTATAATTTTCGAATCATAAATCTAGTCGCCAGAAGCAAAATGCTAACGTTATGCTATAAAGGAACTACAGCAGGGTCGCTGCTTCAACGTCACGCCAACTTAAGATCCATATTCAAAACTACAGATTCAAAATTGTACAAGTTGAAGTGTTTGTTTTAACAGTTTGCAAGAGTGCAGGTACTTGCTTTCAAGAAGAACAGGGCAAACAAACTTAGCGGGAGTGTTTACGTGTTAATGACGTACAACGGCCTCGACAACTTCTATAGTCTTATTCAGCCACATGTTAACAACCATCGTTTTTCAGACACGTCAACTCTTCAAAAATCACCAGTGGGGTCACTGCTGATGTATTTAATGTCGTAGAACCAAACGTAATCTGTCTCTTCAATTTGTGTCAAACACAGACCTTATTTCCAGATCTTTTCCAAAACCCTATGGAGAAATCCCATTGCTTTTTGTCAAAGGAACCGGTAGTGGTACAAATGCTAACTTACTTCCGGGTTTTAGGACACGTCACTGCGGTTCTCTATATGTTCCTTGTTTTGTAACTGTGGCAGGTCGGTTGGTTGAGTTAACACCTGTTAAGTTGCTGTGCTATTTATTAGAGGTATTTTCGGTTGACCTTTTTATAGGCCTAGTTATTAATCTTGCGGTTTATAATGTTTTTTGGGTAGTTCAAAACCCAGTTTCTGTAACAACTCCAGTGTCCTGTTGCCTTACTGCTTGGTCCCTAACGGCCCGTCCACACGGCGGCGTGCGGTGAAGCTTCAATGCTGCTTCCCATTCACTTTGAATGGGGTGACGTCACGCTTTGCCGAACTGCATTGTGGTTCCGTCGCTTCGCTTTGCCTTCGTTGCTCGCTTCAAAAGTAGAGAAAAGTTCAACTTTTCAAGCTTCAACGGAAGCGTCAACCAATCAAATCATATGCCAGTACAAGCTCTAGCCAATCAAACCGTGTGCTTGTGTGTCCGGGGCGGGAGATTCATGTGATTGGTTGTTGGTCGAGCTTCAGACACGCCCGCCGGCAAGCTTCAACGCACACTGCCGTGTGGACGCTGCGTAACACTGTTAAATGCAACATGTTACATCAAATCTATCTGTTATCAAAATGTCAAGATGATTTAAGCAGAAAGTCCAAAAAGTGTACATAGACGTCGCCCACACTGAGCAGGAGTTGGTCCTCAGCAGGGACAGAAGTTCAATGACAGTTCACTGAGCAGGTCAGGGAGTGGCCTTTAACGGTCCCGTCGAGCTATTCTTGTACCTGCTGGTGATCAGGTTTCCAGTTCAGACACACCAGGTGCTGCTGCAGCGTCTCAAAGCCAACTGCACTCCTCTCATACCCCGACACTGTGAGGAGGAACACGGGACGAAATCTAACAGAAAACTCGAGATTTAAAGCATTTAGTTCAAAAGGGCTTCATTGTTTCCAGTCGTCTGACTCTAGGTGACAACATGAGTGATGGAAAACATGTGGTGCAATACAACAAGCCAAAAATAAAGTCAGTAGACTAACATATAAAATGAAGAGGCAAGCACACGTTAATACAATAAAAATCAGATAAGTACACGACTATGCTAAAGAAATAACATATACATTATTGAATAAGCACTGTATTTCATCTTATACTCTGATATTGTGTTATCTTACTATATTTTACCAGTATATATTCTGTTTATATGCATTTTACTTGCATCATTCTGTCTCTTACACCGTTCTCTTGCACAATTTGTATGTCTAGGTATATTGTATTTTTGCATTGTAGTAGAAGCCCTGCGATTTAGGATTTACTTTGCAAAAAGTAAAGTCTAGCTTTTGTGCATGAATCTTTCTCCCCTCATTCTCTACACACATTATTTTGTGGAAAGACAATCACCCTATCAGCTTAAACTAACCCCCATACCTCCGACTCTACTTCCACCCCCACCTCCACCTCTGTAATGCTTTAATTGAATCTCCCACTGGCAGGATATGAAGGAAAGTCCTGTCCTATCTGGGGAGTCCCGCTGCATTGCCTCGTCTCTATAGGCCTCAGCTGCCCTGCTGCCTGTGAAGCAAAAGAGGAAATGGAGGCCATTATTAAATGCTAATTCGGTATTGACATGAATATTGTGCTCAGAGGGATTTGTTCCCCCTCTTTTGTAAGTGAATTTGTATTTCAGATGGAAAATCCTTCTCAGTAAGCTGTCAGCCAATGAGCATTGTTCTTTGAAGAAGAGGTGACCCCTCGGGCTAAAAGCCCCTTTATTCCTCCCTCAGCAGTTTCTTTGTCATGCGTCAGGTAGGGGTTCTACCGTAAGACTGAATCTATGGATCTGACTGAGATATACAGGGGATTTAACCCCTGAACCTGTAAGTGTAGATGAAAGGATGAGAGTTTGCTGCACTGAGACCTGTTTTTTAGATATTTATTTTTGGTAGTTTGGCTCTCATATACAGATGACAGTGACGAGGCGCACATGGGGGAAGTACGGAGGCCGACCAATGCAAACACGGCCCAAAACACTTACATCAGGCGAAACGCACAGCACTTACAAAAATGATGTAATCAAAAATACACAAATATGTCAAAACCCATGCAAATGAAGAAACGTCTTCACCAAGTTGACGAAACATGCGAAAGGTTTACTAAAAGCG